ATTTTGTGATTCTAAGGGAAAACCCTCAAGTGAACCACAGAGATTACAACCCTGACATCATTGAGCTGATAAACTAATGTCACCAACTGTCTGCTCTTCACCTCATTATATGCTAAATGGTAATCTTGGTTGAAACTACTATATTTAGATTTCCTGATACATGTAATGAAATACATGCATCTAACTACAGCATAGGTATCATCTTCCTAAGATAACACCATTGAGAGAAAAGGGCAGGGAAACTTCTGGTCTATTTATTTCAGTCCCGAGCAGTCTGTTTCTATTACATTTAAATTTCTGGGTGAGTACTCCTATTAGGTATGGACACCTTCACACACAAGGTCAGAACCTAAATATGCAGTTGATTGTAGGATCAAAACTGCCATTTAGATGTTAAGGAAGCAAAGAGGTGTTTTTTTGTTTGTTTGTTTGTTTGTTTTTACAAAAAAATTGTATGAGGGTATTCTTTCTGAACCTTCCTACCTGAGAAGTTTACTTATCCATCCATAAAAGTAATCTGTAACAGAGCTATGTGGTAAAAAGATCACATTATTTGAATATACAATTATGCTACAATTAACCAGAGATGACAATTATAAATAACACTGTGTCTCAGAGTTTCCAAGAAACCTGACATACACAGTTCTTGGGTATGTTTGAAACACTTCCAAGAAAAGTTAAGAAAATAAAAACTCTTTTAGAAGTCTTCAAGTACAATGTGTTTCAGTAAAAATGACTTTCATTATGTGTTTCAGTACATATTACTGAAAAACATTCATCCCTTTCTTCACACTTCTAATTGTTTTCACTGTCCAATTACAGCTCTTCAGAATGAAGACCTTCTATTATAGTTGGGACAACCATATTGGTTATTTGAAATGTGAAGAAAACTTAATGTTTATAAGGCTTGTGTGCTCAAGAAAACAGATATCCACGGCAGGATTCCAATTATCTGGATGGCAGGTTATGCTATCACCTTTTAGACTGCTGGGAAGCACCAGGCTCAATTTCTTTCCCCATTTCCTTTCTCCCAGCTCCTTTCTCCCTTTTTCTCCACTTTATGGCACCCACTCCTTTCATGTCTTTAATTTTTAAAGAAAGAATTATTTTTATTTTAAATATTTTTAGAAAGAGAAAAAAAGGCAGAGAGAGAAACACCGAGGTGAGAGCAATACATCAGTCAATTGCCACTGCCTCTGGCACATCTCTTACTGGAGATCAAGCCCACAACCCAGGCTTGTGCCCTGTCTGGGAATTGAACTGGCAACCTTTTGGTGCATGGGATGATGCTCAATCAGCTGAGTCACAACAGCCAGGGCAAGCCTACTTTTTACATTTCACAAATCTTCTGGGTTTGAAAAATTGGGAGCATTGTTTTAGGAAGAAAAAAAATCCTCCTTTTGGGATTCAGATATATGAGAAGATAATGTGCAAACTATAAAGGAAGTTATCATATCCCTGTTTGTCTTTCATTAAGAACTCCGAAGCAGTCCAGCTAGTGTTGCTCAGTGGTGAGCATTGATCTACTCGACTCCAATAATTACAGGCTGTTGTTGTTCCTTGTGACTAAGCTCTTAGGAACAAGGAGGTTGTAGTTTGATTCCCTTGGGACATATGCCCCACTTACAGGCTCAAATCCCAGTGGAAGCTTGTAGGAGGCTTGATTGATGATTCTCTCTCATCGTTGATGTTTCTATTCCTCTCCCTCTCCTTCCTCTCTGAAGAGTGTGTGTGTGTGTGTGTGTGTGTGTGTGTGTGTGTGTATATATATATATATATATATATATATATATATATAAATATAAATAGCTCAGAAGCAAAATGTCAAGCCAATTACTAATCTACCTGGCATGGCTAATGTTGGGAAATACACACTTTGTACAGTGATGTCACTTTATGTGGAAGAATAAGCATCCACTTTGTCAACTAAAGTATTTAACTGATCCGATATGCTAAGCAATGTGGGGGTCCTTATTTAATCCCCTAAGTAGGCCTACTAATATAAATATGCTATGATTAACAGTCAAAATAATAATTTGACTTCAAATTTAAAAACTATAAAGGCAGAGTACATATTTTATTATTAAATATTAGAGGCCTAATGCATGAAATTCACATCCTCTGCCCCGGCCCCTGCCCACTGGAGTGGCCTCCTTGGTCCTTGCAGCCCTGGTTTCATCCGGAAGGTTGTCTGGAAGTATGTCTGGTCTAATTAGCATATTATGCTTTTATTATTATGGATAGCACCTCAAGTACACAGCTCCATCCTTAATAGATAATAGATGCTAATGGTGAATAATTACTAATTAAATATGTAAATTTGACACCATTTCATCCCCATGAATTGCACAGAAATATATCAATCCTGGACATTGTGGAAATGATACCCAAGCTAGTTCAACAAGAAAAGGCAACCACAGTAACACCTGCTTCTAAGAGATGTTCAATAACCTCAGTTTGTTCTCAGGTGTCAAAGGTAAAACGGGTGAACAAGTTTGGGTCCTGCTAAAAGGTTTACCTATACATTACAAAAGTTAGCCATATTATTACAATAGTGAATTGCTTGCCTTCATATTTTAAAAGTTTCACTGAAAACCCCATGAAAAAATATGACTTTAATTGAAGACATAACTCAACTGTACTGAAAGTGTTTGGTGAAGAGGTTGGGAATGCTAAACTTCTTGAGAATGAAGACATTTAATTGGGTGGCAGATTTTGGCAAATATTACTTCAAATATAGTCTTTAAAAAAGTCATTATAATTCCACAAAAGAGAGAGGAAAATTAAAAGCAGTAGCTTTCCACAGAGGCAGACTACAAACAGGAGGTGCTAACCAGAGAAATAAAGTGTTGATGGTGGAGGTGGAACAAGAAGTGGCAATGAGGACCCCTAACAATAGACACTATGGGATAAAGTGAATGCAGATGGTTCCACTCCTGTTAATCAAAAGGCGGAGCAGAGTTACTGGAGCCTGCATGAAGTCATGTGTTAGAACAACAGCTGATCTGTGTTAAAGAAGATTAACTCGCAGTGCCATGGTGGAGGGCCCGGGATTACTCTATGTACTACCATTGCCTTACAAGCCGTCAGCACAATTATTGCCCTCCGATGTGAATGACTGATCTGTAACCAGAGCTAACCAGCATGCTGCTTAGGGGCCTAGGAGCTTCATGAAGATGAATTTCCATACCACCAAAGTGCTCTTAATGGGCTCCCTGATCCAACCACAAGGCCTGTTTTGCAAGTACATAGAATTTAGGATGAAGCCTTCATGTCCAAAAGGATTTGGTTGGTTGTCACTTGACAAGTCCCAGCCAGCATAAGGGAGGAGAGGGGCGAGATAGGTAGAGTTGTTTTTGCTTTGGAGGATTAGAAAGAAAAAAAAAAAAGGTACAGATGCTTGCTGAATGCAACCAACTGCTGTATCCACAGCTGAATTCAATGCACTTAACAAATAACAGCAATTTAGCTATGCTTGCGAGGAATAGCTGGAGTCACTTTGCATTAGCATCTGGCTGAGTGTTAAACTCACTTCTGCATGGGGAGCAGAAAAAAGGGGTTTCTGTTCAAGCATCCTTTCAAGAATGTTTAAATATCTGAATACAAATTTCTTTATGCTTGCGACCCTCCCTTCCCTCTTGGAGCTGTCACTTCACTTTGCCTCTTCTCTCTGGCGTGTAGCTAGAGGAAGGCTGTCCCCTTCTTGCTACACCAGCACCTTTTCACGTTGCGGGACTGCTTGGGATGAGAGACTAACCCACAATCTGCTCTCCCCTCCAGAAACGGAACAGGCTTGTAATAGTTTCTTCTACCTTTTGACCCATGTTTGGATCAGAAAAAAGGCACAGTTGTGACAGAGTCATATATATATTTCCCTTCACTAGGTAGATTGGTAGCTTCTTAGAGATTATACATCGGATTCCATGTAAACTCAGGGAACCCAAGAACATATTCAAAATAGAAAAGTTCTCATTCTGTCCAATCTTGTTTGACTCATGTTTCTCAGTTTATTGCTAAGTAGCTGATCATTTCCCCTCCTCTAATCTGTTGTGTCTATATAGCTAGAGCAGTGGTCGGCAAACTCATTAGTCAACAGAGCCAAATATCAACAGTACAATGATTGAAATTTTTTTTGAGAGCTGAAAACCAACTTCTGTGCATGGGTCATGAAGTTTCAGTCACACTGTATGTGTGCGCCCGCACGTGGTATTTTGTGGAAGAGCCACACTCAAGGGGCCGAAGAGCCGCATATGGCTCGCGAGCCACAGTTTGCCGACCACTGACTGACTAAAGGCTTGTTTAAAGGTGATTCAAAAACACTTTAAACTTTCAATTCAAACCATATCAAACATCACCAAAAGAAGCAAACCACTTTGAGCTTTCTAGAACTTACAATATTTTTCTGAATATAATGTATTTTAGACAAAAAAGTGTTAAGTTGTCACATTTCAGAAAAATTCAGAAGTTTCACTATGCTTAGGTAGAATAATAATGCCCACATTTTAAGAATCACATTTTGTTTTATGATAAAGTCAAATTTTCCAGTTGTGCGGTCACCTAAAACTTGACAGTGTTTTGCATTAGAAACATATGCCCAGCTCAGGATCCTAGATGCTTAGTCTATGAGCATGGGTATCATCCAAGCTTATGCTGGTTAAAGAAGATTCAGCATTTTCAAATCCAGCTCATCCCCAAATATAAGGTAAGCATCTCTGGAAGGCAGAACTTTCACTAATATTCAGCTCTCTCAAGTGCCATCTCATTTCAGTACCAATGGAGGGCAGAGAATAATCAATAAGGTTTGAGGATAGAAACTAGAGACACTGATTAGCCTGCCTATTTTTGGCTGGTTTTGATTGGGATGGACATGGAGATTTCTGTATTGATAGGAGGAAAAAGGGAGGAGGACAATTATTCTGAGATAACGAAAAGACAATAAAAAAGAAAAGCATTCAGGCGATTTAAGTATTCTGGGAAAGTCAGGTATTTTGAAAACTAACCTTTTCTGTCCGGCAGTTATTGAGACCTAGACTATTCACAACAGCCACCTTCCCATCAAGCACCTGTTGTTCCCGCCGAAGTTGCTCCTTCATCTGCCGCGCCTCTTGGATTGCCTTTGTGACAGCATCATGGTCATTTAAATAACCTGAAGGTGCAACAGAACAAAGAGTATGTTTTGTACAAATGCATGGAAGTTTTAACCATCACAATCACTTCTTTTTCAGGTAGTGGCTGGTATCTGGCATATCATTTCTCAGTGGAATTTGTCTAAATGAATGAATAAGTCATACATGAACACGTTGCCAAACATCTGTAAAGGAAGCAAAATGCTAAGTGAAAGATAGCTGTTTCCACACACTTGAAAAGAAGTTTGAAATATAGTTTTTCAAGAAACTACTTTTTAATTATCTGAATAATTTGTAGTGCAAAAATAAAACCTATCTTTGATTTCTTTTCATGTAAGGATTCTTTTAATGTTACCACAAGATGCAGATATTGATAATTATCACTGTAATTACTGTCACGCTCATAGCATTAAAAAGGCCAATTTAAAGTTTGGGCATAGCACTTCCAGGTTGTTATTTAAAGGAAGAATAAATCATTATTAACTGACAAAGAAGAGCATTTTGGCCCTGAATCCGTTTACAGTTAAATAAACCCCAGGTGGCAGTGGTTTGCTATGGATACATACTTGTTAATAGTTAAGAGGCTAAATTTCAAGCACAGAATGTAACTAAGCAGCTGTAATTGTTTGATTTTTTAAAAAAATGTGGCTACTGGTAAGAATAGTCACACAATTCATACTCTCTCTTTTTTTTTTTTTTTTTTTTAAATATTTTTATTGATTTTGTACAAAGAGGAAGGGAGAGAGATAGAGAGTTAGAAACATCGATGAGAGAGAGTCATCGATCAGCTGCCTCTTGCACACCCCCTACTGGGGATATGCCTGCAACCAAGGTACATGCCCTTGACCGGAATCGAACCCGGGACCCTTCAGTCCCCAAGCCGACGCTCTATCCATTGAGCCAAACCGGTCTCGGCTCATACTCTCAATAAGATGATCAAATGACCAGCCTGAATCTGCAGCTCTACAGAGTTAGAAGGGAAAAAAAAGAAGAAAGAAAACAACAAACAAACAAAAACACTGCCAAATATGTCTTTAAAAGAATAACAGGTGTAAGAAGCAAAACATTTTTAAGTTTAATTTTAACCCTGGTCATTTTTTTAAATTTGATACCTATTATTATGATAATCGGCATGATCTTAAGGTAGAGTACCAAAAAGATTTGTTTCACATCTATTGAAAGGAAAACTAATATCTCATCTTTCGCTCTCCCTATCTTTTAACGAGGGCATAAAATGGCATAAACTAAATCTATAATTTGATAATGCCCAAAAAGGGACTTGTTTGTGACATGAGGCTAAATCTAACCAGATCCATTGGTGTATTGTGACAGATGGAGGGACTGCGAGACAGAAGGCAGGCACTAATCACACATAAAATGACCGGCTTGCCTCAACATGTTCCATGGATTCCAGCAAACTTTACACCCTAATCCATTTTTAGAACAAAAAACATCTGGGCCATAAATCCTCTAATCTGCCAAAACACGCTATTAAATCCCATGATTTGTTGAAAAACACTAAGATTAAAGAAAGGAAATATAAAGTGGCTAGCTGCCGTGTTAGGAAAGTGTTATTAATACTATTTCTTTGTCTCAATTATGAATGTTCTGGTACTAAAGAGCCTTGTCTAATCATGTCAGATTACACATCCTCGTTGTATAGCTAGACTCCTCTATCTGATCTGCTGATTGCCAAAACACATAGCAACCCACTTGCCGCTTAAACATTTCTATGGAAGAAGCTGATGTGAGATTAGGGCAGCACTGCTTCCCCCCACCCCTTACTGCCCACAGACCAGACCTTGTCCTCTGCTTTCCTTCAAGCAGAAAGATAAGTTCTAGTGCAATCCACACAAGAGGAAGGCTGGACCTACTATGCAGGGTGGGGCAAAAGTAGGTTTACAGGTGTGAGTACCTGAAACAGTTGATTCTTATATTACTATTTATTAATTATTCTTATTTTCCAGATGAACAGCCAACTGAAGGTCAGTCCTACAAGGTTAATATTTATATAAAAGATGGTTGTTTTTAAACATTATATTACTCTGACTTGGACAAGATTCTTGAGTATTCTGTTCATAAATGCCACCGCTCTAGAAAGAAGTACAGATCTATATGGCAGTGATGGTGTCGGTATATGTTTCTTTAGTAACATCCTAAGTGGACAGCTTGATTTTCCTACGGTCTCACCCCTGTTTATGTACAACCAGTCATCACACATTTCTGAAGTCTATTTAGCTTCTTCCAGAGCACATACATGTGTGAAATGGTTTGGCACATGGCACTGAATACAAGCATTGATTGTTTATGCTTTTTAGGTGCTGCCAATATAACATTATGAAGTAAAAATAATTAATATAGATGCAAAATGAATGCAAATTGTTACGGGGGTAAATGACTGACAGACATATGTTCTGTAGAGGCTAGTTCCAAGTTGAGGTATGTGTTCCTGTGTATGTGGAAACAGAAGCTGACATTCAAGTAAACATTCTTGCTCTTAAGAGACCCTTGAGTTTTGGTTAACATGCTACCTGAATTCTAACAATTGTACCTCTTGTGCTAAATCATAGAAGCCATTTATATTCTATAGGCTGAATCTTAATGGAATTGTTTGGTGGTGCTTTACATTTTTTTTCTAATCATAGTCACCAAATTCCCACTTTTGCTGACTCCCTCTCTTGGCAAATGGTCTGGCCTCTGATTTTGAAAAGACCAGAAAGACAGAATTTCACCTTCCTGCTCCTTACCCTACCCTGCCCATTGTTACCCCATGCAGCTTCAAATCTATTTCCATTTATGCCTCTTCTTGTGTCAGTAAAAAGGTACCTCTGCTTTCATTTAAGGCAAACCCCTTGCACTCATGTTCTAGATTCCTACACCTCATTGTCGGCTATTTTGTCTCATTTGTCATTGCTCTTTTCTCCCATCTCTACTATCTCAACTTGTAAGTACCTAAGGCTCTCTCCTAAAACAGGTACATCAAATCTCTCCCTCCTTGTTGTCTCCTTGTTCCAGCTCTGTCTCTCTACCTTCTAAGCCAGGCTTCTCAAAGATTCAAATTCTCCCGTCCCTTCCTCACTCTCACATTCTTGTTGCAATCTTCTTCCTGTTTGCTGTGTTCTTTTAATTGCCAATCTAAGGAGCATTTTGCATTATCTGCAGAATGATTGCACTGACCAGCGCTTCATTGAAATGCCTTCCTTCCCTGTATCTCATCATAGCACTGGGATCCCTCTTCTCTCCGACTCCTCCATCTTCATATCCTTTCCTGGGATCCTTTCTTCACCTGTTCTTTAGATTGAGCTGCAGGGTTTCAACCCTCAGGAGAAGTGTGCGTTTCAGAGTTGGACAAGGCTGAACTATAATAAAATACTAGCTTTGCCACTTACTAGCTATATAAATTTCTAAAGTTATTTCACTTTTCTGTCTCAGTGGTCTCATTGGTTACATGGGGATAACACTGACCTGACAACTGAAATGTTGTGAAGATTGGAATATTAATCTCTGTGTTTTTTTTTTTGGTTTTTTTTGTTTGTTTGTTTGTTTTAGTATCACAAGTGGTCCTTGACAGTTATTCTGTAACTTGTGGCTCATTTGCCAAATAGCATTAGTGAAACAGGGAAGACCTGGGCATTGGCTTCAGATGGATCCGGGTTTCTAATTCTCAGGCAGTGTGATATTTGACAAATTATAACAATCTCACTGAGTTTCCATTTCCCTCATCTGTAAAATAAATATGAGCTCAATGGAAGAATTACATAAAATAATACATGTGAAGGTATATATAGCTCTTGGTACCTGAGAAGACAGTAAAAAGCATTATTCCTTCATTTTCTTTCTTTTTTCTATGTGTACCTCAGCTGTCTTGTTTCGATAAAGTCCAAGAGGAGGTGTCATTTCTTGTTGGGAGAGAGGTTCAATTAAATGGAAGTCCCTCATCAGAGTCCAAAAAGATACAAAATGATTACCTGACACATCTTTTTCTCCCTTCATTATATAATGAGGCAGCGATTGTATCTACAAGCAGGCCTGGAAGGTGGGCATGTGTTTAGGAGAGACTCAGCGAGCCTCAATCTCAGGAGGGAAGTGAAAGGACCAAGACCAGTAGGGCTCCAGTTAGCATCCCATATGAGATGTGGGAAGCACAGGTTAGGAATCATCACCAAAGTTGCAAGTTTCTGTAATCTTATAAATTTTACCATACATTGATGTTTTATGCCTCAGTGTTGCTTCTTAACCACTAACAACAAAATTATTAAAATTAAAAAACACCCTTTTAATATTTTCAGAGGCAGAAAAAAATGGGCAAATTGGCAAGTCCAATCTTAGAAAAGGGTAAAATTAAACAGAAAAAAGTGAGTAATTGCTATTCCAAAATAAAAATAAACAAACATTGCAAGGCAAAAGGAAAAGCAGGAAGTATCTGTAATGGGTTAAGTTGTATCTCTCTAAAGAAAATGTTCCTGTCTCAGGCTAACCCCTGATATCTGTGAATGTGACTTTATTTGAAAATACAGTCCTTAATAGACTCTATTGAAATGAGATCACCGTGATTTAGGGTGGGCCTTAATCTAATGACTGGTGTCCTTATAAGAAAAAGGAAAATTTGGAGACATAAGGAAGAAGGTCATGTGACTATGGAGGCAGAGATTGGAGTACCCATCTAAAAATCAAGGAACACCAAGGACTGCCAACAACCATTAGGAGCTCCCACGTAAGCAAGAAACATGGGGCAGATTTCCCCTGAGATTCCAGAAGGAACTAATCCCTACTGATCCTTTGTGGATTTTTAGCTTCCAATCAGTGATAGAATAACTTTGTTTCAAGCTACCCAGTTTGTCATTTGTTGCATTAGCCTTAGAATTCAATATATCACATTTGGCCCTAAACATAATCCTAAGAATCAAGGGGTGATTCCTAGTACTGTCAAATATCTACTGTCTGACTCAAATCTTTATTCCTAGTTACATGCATCTGTTTCCTAAGGTTCTCTACTTGAATGCCCCATGAGTATCTGAAATGCAGTGTGTCTAGAAAAGAATTCATCATCTCCCACTTCCTCAATCTGTTCTTTCTACACCCATAGCCCATGCCAGTTGCCCATGCAGTCACCTGGGAGTCATCTATGACACCTCCTTTACCCAAACATATAAAAGGCAACCACAGCCGAGCCCTGACAGCTCTGTCTGCTCCTCCCTCTCACATGTGCTTCTTCTCCATCCCCACATTCCCTGCTTTTGCTGAAGCCACCTCATAGCTCACTTGGGCTAATGCCACAACCTCCTAACTGGTTTCCCTATCTTCAGGTTCATGGTCCTTGAATCCATCTCCTACTCTGCAGATAAAACATTCCAAAATATCCAAAAACAAGGAATCTGGATCATGTCACTTGACCTAATTAAAAATCCCTTCTCTTGGTACCCCAATGCTTAAAGGAGCATTATAACATGATAATTCTGTGAAGCAAAATAATCCCATGTCCCAAAAAATGTGGGAAACACTAATTAAAGTTAAAAAGGTTTCTTCAATGCATACATTCTCAAAATCTTGAATATGTTAATGTGCATCGTGAATCTGTGAGAAGTAACAATAATATGCAGCCTTTCCCAAATATACTGAAACAGGAAACACTTTAAGGCTCCCCACAGAACGTCATTCTAAGATAAACTCCAAACACTTTAAAATGGCCTAACTATCTCTTCATGATGTCAACTCTGCTTATCTTTCCCGGGTCATTTCTTGCTGGTCTCTCAGGAGTTCTGTGCTGCAGTGAATTATTTCCTGTTCCAAGGACAGCCTTCCTCTCCAGCCCACCTCTGTGGCCCAAGTTTGCCTTTTACTGAAGCACTCTCTTCCTGGTGTGTTTGGGGATTTATTCAAATGTCACTCTTCTGTAAGGACTTTGCTGACATACCCCAGACATGGTCCTTGGCAGCAGTAGTACTTCCCATTTATCTGCTCCTTCAAAACCTTGTAAATGTTCTTACTGTGTCATTGTTCGTTTTCTAAACTTGTCTTTCACACATCTCTGGTCTCTGAACTCACTACTTGAGGACATTTTTTTTTCTTTTAGTCTTTTATTCCTTTGGCCCATGGCAGAAGGAATAAATGCATATTTCTAAGTAGAAAGTTTCCAACTTTATAATTCCAAGTTCATTGAATTTCTATGTCATCATATCAACGGAAGCCTGTACTATGTATCATGGATTTATTAAAATTCATGGGCTTAATAATCCATCAGGGCAATACAAGTTCTTATTTAGTACATGTTTATTTTACATATGATTTTTCAGCTATGAGTAAAAGTAAAGGCCCAGATGTTTTAAATTATTTTCAATACATATTAATTTTTTTTATGTTTTTGACATCATATCATCATCACATTTTTGGCACCCTGTTATTTCTTTACACGTGAAACCTCTTAATAATTAGTTGAATAATTAACATGAATGCAAACTGTAAATTGTAAAATGCTTTGTAAATGTTAATTGCCAAATGTTGAATGATACCCCTAACTTCCTGATAATCCAATGGCTTCCTATGTAACTACTACACAATTCTTGTTCAGCAACTTACCCTCATAAAAGTTTTTCTCATTAAAAATGTAAATGTATTTGAGCTAATATTCTCCTTCATCATATTTTAAATGAGCAGGTTGTGGAAATAAAATACCAAATTAATGGACCTCAAAGTGTTTCCCTTCATCTTATTGAATCTATCTGTGTGCACTACATTTGCTCAGGTGAAATTTTACTTATCCATCGGGAATGAAGAGTAAGAATAATATGTTTTAGTGGAAATGACAGAACAAAGACTGTGGTATCTGAGCCTCAGTCCAACCCTTTCACCTTCATATCCTCCAGGCTTAGCAAAATGTATAGCACAGAGATGTTTAATACCCATCTATTGGATGAATGAGTGAAAGGTTAAATAGGTACCTGATTAAAGCATGTAATACAGAGAGACTACCAATAGGCAATAACTAAAAATAAAGCATCTCAACCTGGAGACTGATTTTAAGGCCTCAACCTCCACTGGATGTGAGTTGGCCAGGTTACTAAGTCTATATGTATTTGTTTTCTTGAAATAAAACCAGAGTAACAAACAGAGTCACAGAGCTATCTACACTGTGAGAGCAACTTACTTAGAATCCCTAGTAAGCACTTAGCCACTGTAGGCTTCTGTTCTTTATCGGTAAAATGACAAGTTTTGACTATTTGATATGGATATCTGCTCCATATAGTTAAGGCTTCATACTTCTAAAATTAACTGCAGTGAGAAAATAGATTAAAAATGCTTTGAAAAGGTTAAAAAGTGTTCTATACATGTGCAACAAAAGTGAAAAAGGCCAACGAAGGAAAGAAACATCTGGTCAAGAGCTTCTAAAATTACCCATCATTCATCTGAACCTTCCTGCCTTTTAAGGATCCTTTCTTTGAAGCTGCCTATCATTTGCCAATCATATTAAAAATGTCATATAATATATTGTAATACTGGTCACCAACCTCAAAAACTCACTTTCTATATTTATGGCTGGTAGGTATATAACAAAGAGCCCATGTCATTAATAATATCTTTAGTTATCTTTTAGTTCACACTTTTCCATGCTTTATTAATGGCATAACACATTAATTCTTCTTTCAGGAGTGACCTTTACAACACCATTAATGCTCACAGCTCTTATCCAACTACATTATTACTTATTATAGTTCTCAGCTTTCAACATCTGCCATTTGTTGAAAAAGAGAAAAGCAAATTGTAGTGCCCTCAACTCCTTGGAAAATATGAGGAATATGTGTGTGGTGAAGGGATGTTTCAGGGAACAAAATAAGAGAAGTTTTAGTAGTGGAGAAAGTCAGATGACAAATATCATTACATATATTCTTGCCTTTCTAAAATATTTTCTCATACTTAATCTTTGGAATGCTAATATATAAAATCCTCATATGAAAAGATACAACTACATTAATCATTTCATTAGTTTAATATTTTAGTTCTCATAACATTACAAGAGTAACTCATATACTAACACTGTGATATTTATAAGCCTTCATGTCTGCTATGGAAATAAATCATTCTTGCCAAGTAAAGTATTTTTTTTCTTTTACCAACTTAGGACAAGAAAGCAAGTTTTTATCTTGGTGTCCATTTAGAGGTTGAGCAGAGTGACTGAGAGTTTGACCATAACAGAATGGTGCATAATAATAAAAAGCATACATACACCCAACCTTTTTCAGACTTCTCAGAATTTAAGTTTTCATTGTTTCTCTTCTTATTGCTGCCCCATTCCCCACACTGACTGTCTCTTGGCAAATAATCTGGAATTCTACTTTGTGAAGATGGAAGCAATTGAAATACATCTCTTCAGCTTTCTTTCCATCCATCCCACAATTTCTTCATAATTTTACTTCATTTTTTTCTTCTTTCCTTCAGCCTTAAAAAAACCAATGGACTTTTCTCCCTCCCAAATTTAATACTGTCTCATTCTCTTCTTGTTGTTGCACTATCACTGATACATTCTTTTATACCTATACATCTCTTCAATTCTTATTCCCTTTGAAAAATAATAAGATTTCTCTATTCTAAAACCTATCACTACTCAGCCTCTTCAAAATTACTTTTCAACATCAAGCTTATAAAGAGACTGCCCTATATATCAACTGCTCTGTTTTCCCTCATATTCTTCAAATAGTTGTAATTGGAATTCTGCTAAACCCTTGTACTAACCACTTTCTGAATCTACCTACCCATGAGCTCCAACTAAGTCCTAATTTTTTTTATTCTTCATGCTCTTTAACTTTTCTGCCCCATTCAGTTTTAGCTATGATCATTTTCGACTGTACCCTCATTCTTTACCTAGCCAAGTCAATATGTTTCTCAAAAGTATACTATTTTACTGTGTTTTCTTGTTTTTGTGTGTGTTTTCTTTTTACAGTCTAAAATGTCTAGGGCTGTAACTCTTCTTCAAGGCTCCATTTGAAATACATTATCCCCAGCTTAGCCTCCCTTGATCCTCCCTATATAGAATTCAACACTCTCCTCTTTATGGCCAAAGGATTGTATCTGTTCTCTGGAATATTACTTACTACGGCTGACTTGTGCTTTAAGATGACTTTCCCTCCAACTCAACCCTGAGTCCTTGAGGATTGGTCTGTGCTAGCCTCCTCATCACTGTACACAAATGACAAACATTTTAATAAATGTGGGATTTTTTAAGTGCTGTCTAATTTATGTTACTAAAATACAAACTGTTAAAAATTTTAAAAGCATATAGAAGCATTTATTTTTTAAAAATTAAATCTTCATTGTTGAAAGTATTACATATGAGAAAGATTTTCTAATGTTTGGCTACTCTACTGAAATGACAATTTTGGAGAAATGAAGCTATCAATTTTCTTATAATGCTTTTGATATATTCAGATAAATTTTAAGTGGTGTGGAACTAAACAAACTTCACATCCTGATGGTTGACTGCTAAACCAGGCAGAAGGTATTTCATTATTATGTATACTATGTACACATCACAAAATATAAAAAATACATTTCAGTGATGGAAAAGGCAAGTCACCTGACAATAGCATTCTGGAACCACTGCTCTCTGTGATCAGACATTAGGCCTCTTTTATATAAACCTAAGAACATCAGTTATAGCAACAAACATAAGCAGTTCAATTTGACGTTCAGGGGGACATTATAACTTAGAGTTCAGTTATAAATTCCAATTGCATGTTAAAACAGACCTATGAGGCTCATTAAATTGGAACTCTCATATGGAATGAAAGACATGCACAATGGGTATGCGTGATTTGCCATTAAAAGATGATTTCATTCAATTGCCATAAACAGAAAATCAGCAAGAACAAAAGAAACAGAACTTACCTATTGTGCTAACTCTGGCTGAAGGACTAGCTAATGCTGCTGGGACAGAGGCTTTGAGGGGGCCCGCCCCACTGCTTATTCTCAGAGCTGGCATATGGGGAGAGGTGGGTGATGTGGGTGATTTGCCATCAGAGGTCTTGGGTTTAGCTGATAGGTTCAGTGGCTGTGCCACTTCATCCTGCAATGATCATTAGAACATGAGCTGTGATAAAGAAAAGCTGATTACAAATGCCTAGAAAAAACACAGGTATAGTGCCTATCTTTTCCCATCAATTACTCTACCAATCAGTGATCTTAGCATTCAGTCTGAACATTACAAATGTTTGGTCAGCTGTCAAAAACGTCACTGTGAACTACATATTCTGAAATGCCTTTTGTATTAGATAAAGTACATGTACACTGGACTATCCAGAAAGCACATAACTGATGTCACCTGTAAGAAATATTCAGAAAGAGCTGTTATTTGTACTATTTATTTTTATTGAGAGACAATACATTGTTCATATAAAATTATGATGTAGATAGCTTTTATCCAACTTCCAAAGAACAGGGTTTGAGTCCCAAGCATCTTTGTAGCCTGGGGCTTAGGTAGAGTTCCTGAAACATCCATGATGGAGGAGTGAAATGGTGTGCAGCTCTGATCAGAACTGCTCCCCAAATTAAATACAAAAAAGAAGAAATCTTTCTGTTAGAAAATAACCCCCTTTCTTAAGTTTCATAAGAGCACTTTTGGATTTAATAAAAAATTGAAACAATATAATTAGTATTATATTAATATGTACTATTTATGTAAAACCATGTTCTAAACACTTAACATTACATTTTTTTAATCCAAGTTTGTTTTACACATTTTCCTCACAGTGCACTATATGGTGGTATGAAGATTTGTATGTGGTCAGTTCAGCAGGCATGGTGATTTTCAATTGTTCTATGCTTGCACATGTCAAGTTTACATAGTTCATATTTTATTTTATAACTATCCATACTAGCCCTTATGAGTACAATTATCACTCAAATTTTATTGAAATTTGTAAGAATCAGACATTATGTCACTTTTTCATTACAAAAAGTTATAAAAACAAAAAGTTATTACTTTTCTGTGCTCTAAAATTAAAACAATGCATAATTTGTTTGTATTTTATTGTTTAAATTATATCCAATTTTACATAGGCATCATTGTAGAATAAAAATATAGCTTCCACCCTTGCCAGGTGGCTCTGTTGGTTGGAGCATTGTTGTGTACACCAAAAAAGGTTGCAGGTTCCATCCCTGGTTAGGGTGCATATGGGAGGTAACCATCAGTTTCTCTCACATTAATTTTCTCTCTCTTTCTCTCTCTCTCTCTCTCTCTCTCTCTCTCTCTCTCTCTCTCTCTCTTTCTCTCTCTCTCTCTCTCTCTCTCTCTCTCTCTCTCTCTCTCTATATATATATATATATATATATATATATATATATATATATATACACACACACACATATCATTGGGTGAGAATTTAAAAAATATATACATATATATAGTTTCCACTTAGCTACTGTTTAATCTTCATGAGTTACGTATATAAAATATCTACCAGTAGTATCAGGATAACTTGTTGAAAGTGGAACAGTTTAGAATCAAATGGTGTGACTTGGTGACATGGAAACCTGTTAATAAACATATTAATTAATGCATACAACATTTTATGTATATATTTACTTAAAAAACACTATATATCAATAAAAATGGTGAAATGGTGTAATATAACATCTATTTCAAATTTATATTTTAAAGTGGTTTATTGTTAGATTTTATTGTTAGCTGCACTTATGAAACCCATGAACAGGTTAGGAAAAATGGCTAACATTTTTTTTCCCCAATTCTATTTTCTGTTTCAGAGAAAAGAATAGTTACCTGAAAATCCATGAGATAATTCAATGGCAATCTGGGATCGTGTTAGATGCATAATAAGTTAATGACCATTATACCAAATTTATATGGATTCATAGAATTTTGGAAAAAAGTGAAGTAAGATAATTCCATGACTGGCTTAATATATATTTTTGACAAATTTATTTTAGCTTTTTTAAAAGTACCCGGGCAAAATCATCTCTCCGTTTTTCAATTTGAACACTTAGTTGGGCTGGTCAGCCAAAATCCACACATATGATCCTCTGGCTGGCAGAAATCCAGGGGTACTGTTTCCCCTTTTTACTCTACTCCAGTATGAATGACTATATCTCAAAATGTGGTATGTGGACTAGCACCACCAGCACCACCTACGAACTTGTTAAAAAGGCAAATTCTTTATCCTTAGAAACTTCAGAGGTGGATTCCAGCAATCTGTGTTTTAACAAGCATTCCCAGGTGACGCTGATGCACACTAATGTTTGAGTGACACTGCCTTATATAATATACATGGATATTATTAAAATATATGCATATTGTCTTCAAAGCCATTTAAAAAACTTCCTCAATATAAGGAGGTGACAATAAAAATGATGTAATAGTAGCTCAATCCTTAATTTTTTTTTTATCAGAACATCGCATTGTATGCTAATAATAATAAATAAAAATATGCATGTGCATAATAAAATAAATGCTATTGAGATTCAGTGAGTCAATAAGGACTAGATTCCACATTTTCTCCCTGATATTCTGCCAAAATATCCTGTCAGATGGGAGCTGCATTGACTGTTTACTATGCAGCGGTAAATAGTCGAGGCACTTTTCCCTCATCAAACGTTGCACCTGCTTACTACCTTCTGCGTGAAATCACTCGCTTTTGTCATGACAGTCTGAAAATTTCCCCTGACAGCATCATAACTCTTGCAGAAGTTTTGAGGGGATGTTTGGAGGAACTGAAGGTGGCTGTTCCACTTGACTGTGCAGAAAGAAAATAGAGGAACAAGTATGTTCGCAGAGTTGCCACAGGTTTACCAGCTCAGTGGAAATGGTGAGTGTGCGTAGAGAGAGGATGGTGGTGTCCCTGAAGATGATGCAGATGTGGTGCTGATGGGGTGAAAGGTCACTGGTTGTGCTTTAAGCACTAAGAACTATTACATGAGCATGCTGAGAAAGGACTACCCAGAGCCATGATCAGAGCAAGAGATCCACTGGAATCCTTAATATTCTCCTCCATTCAAGGCAGCATGATGCCTGAAATCCAAAAAGGGCAAAGCCCTAAGGACATAATAGAGGTTGACAGGTCCAAAAAGAATAGAAATGTCATTCATAATTGCCCTTTCATTCTCTTTCTTTGTGTGACTGGGCTGATGGTATATTAATAAGAACCTGCATGCTTGATCCTTCTACTGGTAGCTATAAAAATAATTTTGACCCCTTATGTAATATTTCACAAATTGATTCTTATAATAACTTATAACAGAGTTACTAAATACCTATTATTTATGAAGAAGTAGCTTATAATTTTTATTCAATATTTTTACTTGATTAGATAAAATTTAAAATCCTTTAATTATAAAATGGAAGTGGACTATTCATTTAGGAGATGTAACCTTCTAAATATGAATAAGCACAATAAGTGTCAAATGTAAGACTTTTTCTATTTCGTTTATTATTTTCAGTATCTCATTTAGGAGAAAATTTAAAGCTTAGCATGATTAGCCTATAGCTTTACATATAAAGTATACATTTAAAATTAAGATATATAATCCTATAAAATAAAAGGCTAATATGCAAATAGATTGAACAGTGGAACAACCAAACACCCAAAAAACTGGTCGCTATGATGAATGCTGACCTCCAGGGGGCATTCACAGAACATGGCAGGTGTCGGCCCCCGTGGGATGGTGGAGTAAGTGAGTGGGGGCACCAGACCAAAGCAGGGCTCCAGTCACTGTCATCAGGGCGAACCTCTGGTGGTTACTGAAAATTCTTTGCTCCCACATGCTGCAGTCCCACTCTGCAATCACACCTGCAATTGTCATTAGCCCTGTCCGCACCTGCCACCAGCACTGGAGTTGCCACTCGCACCCACAGCCAGTGCTGGAGCCACTGCTCGCACCTGCTGCTGGTGCCCAGAGTCTGTCCCAATTGCTCGGCGCCATCAGCAGGTGTGAGTGGTAGCTGCAGACCCTGATCACCCCTGAGGGCTTCTCCATATCTCCTTCCTCCCGAGGGGCTACCAGGGCAGTAGCCACCACTTGTACCCACTGATGGCATTGGCCCCACTCACACCTGCTATTGTCACTGGCCCCAATGGATCCACACGGTCAGTGGGTGTGAGTGGGGGGATGGGGACAGTGGGAGCGGGGCTGCTGGTAGACAAGGACCAGAGGCCATGGTGGGAGGAGTTAGGCAGAGGCATGGAGAACAGGTCGAGACCTGCCCCTGTGCCTATTACAACCTCAGGGCCCACAGTTCCTTTCAAAGTGCACAAATTCATGCACTGGGCCCCTAGTTTACATATAAACAAACGTAAGTAATTTTCAAGGTCAAGAAAGCATTGGAAAAGATAGCATTTCCATCAAGTTCAGCATCAAGCAGTAAAGAAAACAATTTTCTCTTAATTACTGGTCCAATTGTTAAATTATGTTGTCAGTTCAAACTTTTAAAAAGTATGTATTTTTATTTCAGAGAAGAAGGAAAAGGGAGATATAGAAACATCAATGATGAGAAGAACTCATTGATTAGCTGACTCTGGCATGCCCCCTACTGGGCATCAAGCCTGCAACCTGGGCATGTGCCCTTGACCTGAATCCAACCTGAGCCCTTGAGTCTGCAGGCCAACACTCTATGCACTAAGCCAAGCCAGCTAGGGCTGTCAGTTCAAACTTTTGAAAATAGCATATATCATATGTATTTCATTTATATACAAAGTGATAGATAAAAAGAATCTTATGTGTCTGTTGAATAGCTCCAAACTTGTATGTGATAAATATAGAGCACACATGTATAAGTTAAGGTAAGCACTAATAAAAGTCTATTATTTATATGAATAGAATTATAATTATTTCAAGTCAATTATTTATTTAATTTTCAATACTATGAAATAATTAATAAACCAATAAAGGAAACTAAGGTTCAGAAAGTTTTAATGAACCTTGGTTTGTGGACTCAACATACAATATTCTTCATTTACTTGACAAATTAAAATTACATTTAAAAAGATGTTAGTGAAATATAATTTATGAAATTCAGGCTTAGCCATATTAATACTACCATATAATAAGTCACAT